GCGAGCCGTTGCCTGAGATATGCGAAGCATTGGGAGTGCCGAAGAACACTCCCATGCTTTTGACTAAGGCCGCGTATGGCCTGGTAGAAGCTCCGATCCAGTGGTTTCTGTCCGTATCAAGGTTCCTGGAGAGTCTCGGAGGAGAACGTCAGTTCTCGGACCCTTGCTGCTGGGGTTTCTTCAATAAAGATAGAACCCCCATAGGATGGGTTTGCGGACATGTGGATGATTTTCTGTTTGGGGGTCAGAAGGGGGATGCCAAGTGGGAGGGCATTAAAGCCCAAATTAAGGAGAGGTTTAAATGGGGTCAGTGGGAACAGGACCGCTTTGTGCAGTGTGGAGTTCTGGTGGAGCAGACGGCAACAGGGTTCATGCTGAGTCAACCAGATTATCTGAATGCTGTGAACGAGATTCATGTGACACGTGCTAGGTGGAACGACCCTAGTGCCCCAATCACCCCGCAGGAGCTGTTCCAACTGAGGAGCGTTCTGGGAGCTCTTTCCTGGCATGCCAATCAGGTTGCACCGATCTGGAGTGCGCCAGTGGGTATGCTCCTCTCTCGCATACACCAAGGAACGGTTCAAGAAATCATTGAGACTAACAAGCTTCTTCAGAAGGCGAAGCTGAGTCAGCACCAGAAGCTGTACATCCACAAGCAGGAGGTGATTAGACCTTTGCTGGCCGCATGGGCAGATGCTGCAGATGCGAGTCGTCCTGATGGGAGCTCCACCAAGGGAGTGTTCATAGGCTGGACCACCGAGAGTCTCGAGAAGGGGGACTTGAGTCGGATCTCGCCTATCTTTTGGCAGTCAGCCAAAATCCAGCGAGTATGTCGAAGTAGCGGGGCTGCTGAGACACGAGCTGCCGTGGACACAGAGGACGAGCTGTTTGCTATTCGATTTCAAGCGTATGAGTTTCTTGGGGGTCGTGTGTCGTTATGGGATGTCGATGGTGCGGTGATGAATGTTCCGGGGGTGCTGATTAGCGACAGTAAGAACTTGTATGATAAGCTGGGGCAGACTGTCATGACTTTGAAGGGAGCTGAGAAGAGAGCTGACATTGAAGCTTTGTGTTTGAAAGAAAGCATGAGTTCCACTGGGTTAGCTATGAGATGGGTCAATGGGGATAGTCAACTGGCAAATGCCCTCACCAAGCCTCACGAACTCCATCAATTGATGGAATTTAATCGTAGAGAGGGTCAATGGCGAATTGTGTATGATCCTGAGCTTCTTAGCGGTCGTCGACGTAAGCAGATGGGTTTGACTTCTCTTCAGACGGCCACAGCAGGATGAATCAACAAGGTTCCTGAAGAAGGAACAAGACTTTTAAAGGCTTGGGGGCGTGCAAGCAATCCAGCTTGAGCTACTGCGTGCACTTCCAGGCCGCATTCGCAGCACCTTGGGCTTCATAGAGAAAAAGGGCCCGCAGCGTGCGCTGAGTCATTTTGCCTGCTGATCCGCTTTCA